TTTTTATAAACTTTTAAAAGTATCGATGTATTCAATTTAAAATTGTTAAAAATCTCTATAATTCCTAAGATATTTAAAATGTCAATAACTTTTATAAAAGTCTCCAAAATATTGACTTTTAAGTAGGAAGTACAAAAATAAAATTTCAAAATTTGTTTTCCATTCATCCAAGATTTTGGTAGATAACTTTTTAATATGTATTTTTTGTCTTTTTTCCTCTTCTCTTCTACGAACCTTAAGAGTCATAAGTAAAAAAAATATTATTTTTTCTTCTACCATTTATCTTTGATCACTTTTCCTTTTTTTCTCTCTTTTTTATGGTTTCTCTCATTTTTTACGAAAACAAATTATATTCTAATAAAAAAATTTCTTATAAAACATTTTTTTCGTTTTTCAATCCACTTTTTATTATTATTTGAAAGATCAATGAAAGTCTAGAGAAGTACAAATTAAAGCTTTATTAGAGGAAGATAAAAAAATGTAGATATTCAGATGGAAGAAAGTGGCTAAAATAATAAAAGATCTAAATCAAAAATGGAGCAAGAATTCGGAAAAAGAAAAGAACTTATGAATAAAGAATACGATATTGGAAGAAAGTACCCTTTCCCCTATAAGATTATGCAAATGGGAAGATAAAAAATATGAAAAAGCTTAGTAAAAAGATAAGTAGAAGAAGGATGTAGCTCACCAATAACAAGTGATAGAGGATTAATTTTAGAAATAATAACTGCAAAATTCAAGACAGACCTAGTACGATAATTAAATGGAAAAATTCTATAATTAGAATATATAATAGTGTACATATACTAATGAATGTAGAAGACATGTGGACTTATTTAGGAACTTGTTTAAGAAAGATGGCATCAGACATATATGTTATAGCCGAAAGACTAAAGCCAAAAAAATTTGATTAAGAATGATCGGAGGAGAAAATCCATGAAATTTTACTAAATAATTATAGGATTTGACCCCATTATAGATAATGCTTATGAACAAAATAAAGTTTAAAAACATGACGTATATATAACCATTTTTACTAGATATTGAAAGATTAGTTAGTGCATAAGGATTAGCATTAGATGTACATATTATAAATAATGTATAATCAATACTTGGAATAAAAGGAATAACTATTAGTATTACAATTTATAACTGATAAATTAAAAGAATATTGCAGAGAAGAAATTGCTAGAAAATAAATAAATGAATCAAATTATTCTTTTTGTTCAGATTTATATACACCATAAAAGAAGAAGAAAATTGTATACAAACATAGTTTAATAGACAATATCAAAATAAGAAAAAATATAATACTAGACTAAGGTTAGGAATTTCAAACTAGACTAAGGTTAGGAATTTTATTGATGTCAACATAGATCAATAAATTTTATGGTTAGGAATTGTTGGAAAACATTTAGATCCAAATATACGGAATTAATCAATAACAAGCAACAAGTCACTTACTTATTATTTATAGATAATTAAGGTAATTAATCCAATTAACCCTAAGTTTAAACAATCACATAAACGTGTAGATTAAAAGTAATAACCTAAATAACACCAAATATGATCAAAGAGGATTTTTTGTGTGTGATCTTTAGATCTTTTTGTATTTTATTCTGTGGATGAGGTAAGAAAATTTTGGAAACAATGATGAATTATGAATAATTGGCTAAAATTAAAGTTCAACCAATAATGAAACAATGTTTGGGTTGAATTATGAATAATTGATCAAGTGATTGAATCTATAGATCTTTAAAATGATTTTGGATCCTCGATAATATGATCTTTATAATAATTATTTTTCCTGTACTGCGGCATGCATGATTTAACTTCACGTTATTAATTTTTTTCCCAACATGAATTCAAGTTAATTTACGTGTATTTATAGATTTATTAATATTATCATTGTTGTGTGCAATTGAACGTTTCATTGTTTTTTTTTTTTTTTT